TTCTGTATCTTGGGCTCTCGATGACACCACTACCCTAACTCATCACTAGCTACTCCTTACCATCAAGATACAGTTCAAACTCCTTCATATGGCTTAACAAACCCTCTAAGCAGGTCTGGCCCCACTTGTTTCTGCAGAATAATCCTTCAGTACCTACCCCTCCCTCCAGACACCCTTGTGATCCCTGGTCTGTGTTCAGCTTCGGGGGCGGGGGCGGGTGTCATGTTCACTCTACCCCCTGGTTCGTTTGCTCATGCTTTTCCTCCCACTCAGTTTCTCTGCCTTGCAAGCCCGTAGGCGTCAGCCTAGAAGTCACTTCCCATGGAGCCTGCCAGCTTTGTGTAAGGCCCTTCCAAAGAGCCTCATGGCACTCTGTGTTTGCCTCTTGAGAGTACATCCTGTGGCTGATGTATGTACCTGGTTCCTCCGTTAGACTCAGAAGTTTGAAGGCAGAGGCTGTGTTTGCTCATCACTGTATCCCCAGTGCCCAATAGGGCCTGGTGCATAATGCATAACCCGTAAATATTTTATCCATGCAGTGAATGGTTGGCTCTGCCATGTTATATATATATCCTTTATGCATTTACCGAATGCTGCTATGTCTCATGCACTGTAATGTGTCACTTCATAAGTGCAGGGGAAACTCAGTGCCAGAATCCTCAGAAAAAGGGAGCTGAAGTGAATTCTTGACTCCAGTGCTCCTTTAGGCTATCATCTGTTTGGGCCACATGAGTTTCTGCACAGTTGGGAGTTTGGCCTCTAGGTGTTTTTGCAGCACCCATAGTGCTATTTTCCTCTTATCTGCCTCTTTTCTGCCTTTTCAGGGGCCATTAAGGTTCAGTCTGCAGCTCTGAGCCACCCCAGACTGCAGGGGGTGGGCCTCCAGCTTCTGTCTCTTCAACTTTGCTGCTTTTCTTTCCTGCTTTCGGTGTCTGCCTGGCCCTTTCCCCATCGCCACCTCTACTTCCTTGATAGACCTCGCTGTACCAGGCTCTATCCAGCGAATAAGACCTCTGCCCTCAACTAGCTCACCTCCTTGTAGCTTAGTTAAGCAAACATGAATTGCATGCATCCTCGGTCTACCCAAGTGTTGTCCACTTCAACTTCAGAACTTGTCCTTAAAGTTGTCATTTTCCTAAGTAAATCACCCCTACCAGCTGCTTTTGTGTTATTATTTGCCTCTATTGTCAGTTGAGTGCTGAAAAAGAAATTGCTTGTCATTGAGACTTCTAGCTGATGGAAGCTCTGCTGTTTTCAGAGGACGGTGACCAAGCCCCAGGCCACCAGGAAGATATGCCGTCTTTAGCCCAGCTCTGCCAGGCCACAGAACCCAGGAGGGTCTCGGGGGCACACTTCCCCGGGCCCGAGCCCAAGCAGAATCCTAGCCTCTGGGAGGGCAGGGACAGTATGTGTTCATCTCGGTCACCCTGATGCCTGGCTGTTTCTGAAGTATGGGAGGCATTCAGTATACATTCATGGAATTAGCAAAAGGCTGGAGGAAGGGAGTGAGGAAAGGAGGAGCAAAACTGACACAGAGATGAAGGCCAGAGATGAGAAGGGTCAGCTGGAGGGTTCGGTGAAGGGGTGTGTGGTGAAGGGGTGTGTGGCTCCTCCGTATGAGTGACATTTTGTCCCAGGGACTATCAGCATCAGATTAGAAGAATCTCGTAGCATAAATACTGAAATAAATACTCCAAATTTGGAGCGTTTCCAATAAGGGAAGAAATAACATCAGGGTAGTTATATAGCAAGAAACATCTCCTAGACGCTTCACGATTATAGCTCTAAGGAGGAAGAGAAACCCCGCAGCTCCCTGAAGGAATCCAATGTTGCAAGCAGCTGGGGCAGCAACTTCTTATTACCACGCGTTGTTTCCATTTTGAAACTCCAGCCATATAGATTGGAGTGTCTTGTCTTCTTCTTCCCGTCTTTTCTCCCCCTACCCCTAAAGCAATCTCATCTCGCATTGCTGCATTTGAGTAGTGTGGGAATGCCCCCTTTCTTTTTCTGACCCCTCCATATGTTAATACTCTTTGCCATTGGTTTTAGAGCAGATGTTAAATCAGTTTAATGTCATGTGCCCCCTTGAGTAGAGTGGTTGCGTCTCACTGGAGTGTTGAGAAGGATTCTGAAGCTGCGTCTAAGTTACATGGGGGCAAAGTTCATGGGAAGAGGTGGAGAGGGTTGGAGAGTGGCACTAGGCATGCCGCGTCCCCCTTCAAGAGGAAAGTCGGAGCAGGGAGCAGCATCCTTCAGGCTTTGACTTAAATGAGAGTCAATGTCTTCATTTCATTTTCCCTTAGAGCCTGAAACTGGTCAGTTTCCGGCTCACGTTCTACAATGGCTTGCATGTAATATCTTTGCAAGCAGGGAGAAAAAGAGAGTTGACGATCTCAACAGTGTTTAAACCTTTCCTCTAATCGGTTGATGTCTGATATTCGATCCTGAATCGGACTTCAAGGCCATGGACGGGGGTAGGAATGAGAGACTGCTGAAAAATTTCCCCTGGTAGAACTATTTTCCAGTGGTTATTTCAGAAGCAGTTTAAGCTTCTGAAACTCGAGCTCCCCCTGGAAACCCCTAACTGAGCATGTAAGTTGCCATCCAAATCGGTGGCCTGGAATTTAGATTCATGGGGAATCAGAACGTGCTGAGGAGTAGCAAGGAGCATTGACCGGCCACCAGTCACGTCCCATTAATGGCAGGCATGTGCACAGATGCATGCAGTGCGTGTCACTGAGGGAAAACACACACAGTAATCTCGTTGGAGGCATTCTTTTTCAGAGGGAGAAACTGAGGCCCGGCCAGTGAGCCAAGCTAGATTGCATTAGCTATAATACCGACTGCGCCCTGCTAGTCGGTCAGTAAATGTTCCTGGACTACTTTCCATGTACCAGTTACAGACCCTGCAAATGGAATGGTGAGAAGACCCTCAAGCCCCCTGCCACAGGGAGCTTCCTTGCTTTTTGGAAGGGACAGACAACAGCACCCCAACAAATCAATGCTTTAGGGGACTAGCAAGTGCACTGAAGAAAATAAAGTGTGATGATCAGGGGTGCTGCTTGACCTCAGTGTCCGGAAGGCTGCTCGGAGGACGTGGCATTCACATTTGGCCTGGAATGACACAGTATGCCAGAGTCAGTGTTGTAAAGATCTTGGGCAGGACCCAAGCCAGACGAACAACAAAACCAATGTCCGAGAGATGAAGGAGAGTCAGTGTGGTTGGAGCAGAGGGAGTGCCCAGAGTCCTGTCTTTTAGCTCCGATAGTTGCCAAATTCTTAGTGGTGGTAGTGTCTCGTAAGCTTTAAAAAACTGTTGTGGTACTTCCTCGAGTTGCTTTTTTGTAAGCCATTGCATTTGGTTGGATGTGCTCGCTTAGTTGTATGGAGAGATTACGAAGAAATCTGTAAATTAAGGTGAACCTTATCATGAGCAATAACCCCTTTGGAGGGAGGCTCATCAGGTGGGGGGTGGGGACCCTTCTGCTCCAGAGAACCATGCAGTTTGGTCGGAGGTAGAGAACGCAGTGTCCAGGGACCATAAACAGATTGGTTCAGTGGGGAGAGAACATCACGCACCATCAACAGCTGACCTGCTCCCTAAACAATCTCAGCGAGCTCTCGTGCTTCCTCCCATGTGTCAGCGAGCTCTCGTGCTTCCTCCCATGTGCGGGTGAATCCAGCCTTGCGTCCACAAACACTTGAAAAGCGGCATGTCATGAGGGGGAGGATACCTTCCTTGTAAAACCCACATCCACTTCTGAATTCTCCTGTCAGTTGCTGGCTACAGTCCGGGCTCTGGCCCCTAAACTGGAAACTGGCAGGTTGTGGACTCTCCACACCCCTGCTCTGCCCTTGGTGCCTTTGCCTCTGCTGCCCCTCTGTGGGTCGCCTTTCTCCCGAGTCAAGGCCAGCCCAGACCCTCCTCCAGGAAGCCTTCCTTGTTCTCTGCCAGGGCCCGTCCACTCGGCACCCTGCGTCGTGTTCTGGCTGTGGCCAGAACTGTGCCCTCCAAGAGGCTGTGAGCTCCTGGGCAGGGAGCATGTCCCAGTCATTGTGTACCTTTGCCCACCTGCACACAGTAGGGCTTGGTCACTGTGTGGTAAACAGCTGAGCAGGCCGTCTTCGTAAGCAGAGATTTTAGTTATTGGCTTGTTAGCATCAAAAGGACATGAAGGGAAGATTAATACTGAATATGGGCAACTATTTTCTTCTTTATATTCCTCTGAATATCATTATTTTTAGAATTTTTTATGGTGAAATGTACATAACATAAAATTTGCTATTTTAACCATTTATGAGCATACAACTCAGGGGCATTAAGTACATTCACATTGATGTGCAGCCATCACCACCATCCATCTCCGGAACTTTTGGTCATCCCAAACTGAAACCCTGTACCCACTAAACAACAGTTCCCCCCTCTTCCCTCCCCCCCACCCCTGGCAACCGCCTTTCTACTTCCTGTCCCTTTGAATGTGACTGTGCTAGCTATTTGATAGAAGTGGCATCAGACAGCATTTGTCCTTTTGTGTCTGGCTTGTTTCATTTAGCATCATGTCTTCATGCTTCCTCTATGTTGTAGGACGAGCCAGAATTTCCTTCTTTTTCAGGCTGAATAATAATTCCACATTTGTATGTGTGTACCACATCTTGTTTATCCCCTGCATCCATTGATGGACATTTTAGTTGTTTCCACCTTTTGACCACTGTGAACATGGGTGTGCAAATGTCTGTTCCAGGTTCTATCTTCAACTCCTCTGGGTAGATGCCCAGAAGTGAAATTTCTGGATCCTATGATGCAATCAGTTGTACAATTTAGAAACATTTTTAATCGTTCTGAAATGGTCATTTCAATTCAAAGCAAAGGTTACTTTAGATGGGGCTCAGCAGAAATGCAGGCTATGTCAAACTTTTGTTCTCATGGGCTAGGGATTGGCTGATGCTTGGTGACGTGAAATGATTTGTTTTCAAGCCCGGTGTCAATTTTTTTCTTACAGCATCAAGCTTCTAGCTGTGCAGGAACTACTTGACAGAGAGGCCCTGGAAAAGGTAAATCTTTTGTTCTTACTACCCCACATTCACAAACTTAGAGCAGAGTGCCATACACAGGAAAAATTCAACTCCCTGTCGCCAAAGACAGCACTTACTGCAAAGTGGGTATACGAACCATGCAAAATTTTCATCCAGACTCCCTACGTGGCTCATATCCTGTTACAAACTCAGTGTTGCTTGGCTCCTTCAGGGTTGTGTTGAAAGCAGAGGCAACCTTTCTTTTCCTTTCAACACCAGGCACTGGACCAGACTCCATGTTGGCCCCTTCACTCCATTTCTGCTTGTGGGTGGTAGTTACTCTCTGGGCTTGTGGATGGTAGAATGGAGGCCCGGTGAAGTTAGGTCACGTGCCCAAGGAAAATCAGCTAAGCAGCAGAGTAGAGATTTGAACCCCACGGTTCCATTTCCCAAATCAGTGCTTTTTCTGTTTAACAGGCAAGTTCATGAGTTTGATCCCCTTTTTAGGCTATTTGTGAGGATTAGGAAACTCCCTCCCCACCTCAAACTCATGTTTCCCTATGCTCCGGAAGAGATATCCAGTGTTTCAGCTTTGTGTGACAAGTCAAGCATGCAGCTAGGGATCCTTTGCGGGTTATGAGTTCAAGTTCTGTGTGCAAGGTGGGGTAGGCTCTGGAAAACAGATCAGGCAAGACCAAGAGCCACCTCTTGGGCCTCCCAACTCATACCAAGGTGCTCTCCTGGGGTGGCTCCATCTCTTCCTGAGTGTGTAGCTATGGGTGCTAATTAGAATCTATAATGTTAGCGTAAAAGGAAGTGGTTAGAGATACAAAAACTGAAGAAATATTATTTTATTTATAGGATTTTAAATGTTTGGATTAGTGGCCAGTCTGCTGGTTGGCACGGAAGCAAAGTCTTTAAGCACCAAGCCGTGATGTGCAGGGAGGGGTCTGCTGAGCACTGACTCTGAATTTAACATTCCTTCAGGCTCATTTTCATCCCAGGTAAAACAGGGATGTTGCTGCTCACCTGACCTCAGAGAGGCAACATGAGAACCAACTGAGTTCGTGTAGCGGAAGGGCTTTCAAAATGCCAAAGCACTCGACACATATTAATTCTTAATTACCTGTATTAATTCTTAATACACATCCAGCCATTAAAATGCATGAGGCTCTAAAAGATATCCTTGGGCCTAATGACAATGTTGGATATGGATCGTAGATTAGATTAGAAAGTATTATATCAATGTGAACTTTCCCCGACGTCGATAACTGACACGTGTCAGAGAATGGACTTATTCTTAGGAATTATCCACTGATGTGTTTAGGAGTAAAGGGGCATGCTGTTTATAACCTCTTCTCAAATGAGTCGGAAAAAACTAATGGAGATATGTGTATGTATATATGAGCCAGAGGGGGAAAGAGCATGCGTAGATGATAAAGCAAATGGGGCACAGTACCGACAGTTGGCCCTTCTGGGGAGAGGAGCATATGAAGATTCTTTGTGTGTTTTTGAAACCTTTAAAAATTTACCTCTCCAAAAACAATTTTCTTCTCAATATTCTCTACAGTTCTTTTGTTTTACTCCTTAATTAGTTAATTAATTAATTAATTATTTTTTAAAGATTTTATTTATTTATTTGACAGAGAAAGACAGCGAGAGAGAGAACACAAGCAGGGGGAGTGGGAGAGGGAGAAGCAGGTTCCCCACTGAGCAGGGAGCCCTACGCAGGACTCGATCCCAGGACCCTGGGATCATGACCTGAGCCGAAGGCAGATGCTTAACGACTGAGCCACCTAGGCGCCCCTGTTTTACTCCTTAATTTAAAAAAACCTCAGAAACCATCAGACAAAGCTCATAAACGTGGCGTCCATGTGCTAAGCTATATCCGTATAATAAAAACACAGACACTGAGAGTATCGATTAGGTCTTTCAGCTGTGTTAATATTGGATTTGGAGAAGCAGCATGGGCAAGCCAGTTTGGGGGTACTAACTGCTGGCAGAGAAGGGGGTCAGGGCTCGCTATGGGTTGAGCCTGTCTCCTCCTTCCTAACTGGGGCATCCCGGGTTACTGACCCTCTCTGTGCTTCAGTTCCCCAGTCTCTAAAGTGCAGATCTTTAGCATCCCCAATTCACAGGGGTTTTGAGAAGATGAAGTAGACAGTCAATGTAAAGGACTTAACTCTGTGCCTGGCGCCCAGTGACCCCCAGAAGTTAGTGGCTGCTGCCGGTATTCCCCCCCTCCCCCTACCCCCTCCTCCCTCTTTCTCACCAAGTCCAACAATGGTTTTGTATTATTCCCCCATCTCCATACGTGACAAGTGGAATGACTTACAAGATGGTCTAAATATGCACAGAGGCCAGCTGGGAGCCAAGTTCACTTAGTGTCCTGCTTCCTTCCTTCTTTTGTTCATTCGTTTGTTCATTCATTCATTCATTTATGCCAAGGCCTCTCTTGAGCTTTCTATGTGCCAGGCAAGTAGAAACATTTTTAGGAAAGTCCAGAAGCAACCAGTTGACGTGAGCTTGGTCGTCAGTGGCATTTTGAGGGACACATGGTACATTACCTGGCATCGTATTACTTTTTGCAGCAAGACTGGACCAGTTCAAATGCTGGAATAGAATAGGTTTCCAAAGAGCCTCATGATGTATGGGTTCCCACCCACCTGGACAAGTTAGAGAACCACCAAGAAAAGTTCTTAGCAAACTGCAGGGCTTTGCTACTCAAAGTGTGGTCTGTAGATCAGCATCATTGTAAGCTGGTTAGAAAAGCAGAATCTCAGGCTCCTCCCAGACCCCCAGAATCAATCTGCATTCTAACAAGACCCGTTGAGTTGTGTGCACTAAGGTCCAGGAAGCTATCCTGAGGATAGCATTTATGATCACCATCCCTGCTGTTGACTCACCCATCTTAATAGAGAACCTCTGAGGTGTCAGATATTTGCTTTATCAGTTAAGCTCTTTTTTTTTTTTTGCCAAAAGAGAAGCAAACATCATCATTCTATTCATCAGAACCCAGTTTTTATCTTTAGTTTTCCTGCTTCTTCCTTTCATTTAGAAAATAATCTTATTTAATTTAGTAGGTAGAGCCAGAAAGCCTCCGTTTAGACACACGTCCTGCAAACCTCAAACCTCTTTGACTGTCTTTGGAGCTGGGCTTCCAATGGCAGTCTGCTTTTAGGATTTGCAATGACTGAACTCCTGAGACCCTGCCACGGTGGAACTGGTCCCCCTCCAGACACAGTCCCTGCTTCCGCAGGGCCCCAGAGCCAGCTCTGGGGAGGCTCTTTTGTCGGAGAGCCAAGGTCCCCTCCAAACCTCACCCCTGTTTGGCTGCTGGACCTGGCAGGGCACCTTCCTTGGAGGCCCCAGCCCTTTTCTTCGTGCATACAACGGATCTCTCTGGTGCCCTCCCACCCTAAAACACTTGGGTTTTACTTTCTAAATGATCTCTGATCGCATCGTGAATATGGGGAAAATTCTTTTTTCCATACTCTGTTTTCTCATATTTTCTCTGCTTCCCTGTCCCAGTGGTTCCTACTGGGCTTCTGGGGCCTTTATGGCTAACATCTGCCCTACTCAGCATTAAAACCCACTTCCTGGGGAGATGTGAATGGTGAGCATGTGCCCAGTGACCCTCACACACTCGGTAGGGTTCCAGTTTTTGCCTCTCCTAACGCTGCTCCTCTTAAGTCAGGTGCAGTAGATTGGGGTGGAGGTTAGGGACCCCTGGGGGGGTTAGGTCTCTGAATTTCTCTTCTCTACAAATACTACAAAAAGTCATTTCCTGGACAAGTGTCAGTCATTTGTCATATATTGTAAAAATAACCTATAAACCATACAATTAATAAGCTTAAGTTTCTCTACCAATTTCTTGTCTTAAAAAAAAAACTGTTGGAACCATGAGAATATTACTTAATATGCATATACATGTCAGGACATGTGACATTTCCCTGACAAAATGTTTTGGATTTCACTGGGCTTTGTCATCAAGCAACCATCAGGTGCCAAGAGTGAGGATTGGCTCCGAGAAGGATGCACGCCATCCTGTTCTCTCCGTTCTCTCTGCTTTAAGTGCAGGACGCTTTTGTTTTTCTGAACTTAAGGCACGTAGACTTGTTTCCCAGGCTTTACAAACGGGCCCATCAAATGCCTTTAAACGTGGCATTGCTTGAAAGGAAATAAAAATATTGGTACAGCTTGATTTAGTAAGATCATTTTTCAGTGGCCCTTTCAAATAGCTTCCTGCAAAGCTGCAAACAATAGTTTGGCCGTTCACTCCAGCTGGAGGTCACCCTGTTGCTGGACGGGCCAGAGGGCAGAGCACCAGCTGACCCAACCCGGATCCAATCTGCCTGAAAAGCTGCCTGTGTGAGGTTCAGGCCACCCAGCACATGGCCATCGCTGTGCTACCCCCGCCCGGCCTCCACAGGCCATGACTCAGCCATTAATCACAAGCTGGCTCAGCCCACGCTCTGTCCCCTGGAACCCTGGCTCGGAGGGTGCCCAGACTGGGGTTGAATCCAGCTCTGATGTCTACTGGCTGGAGGATCTCTTGGGCAAGTTATTGCTCAGACTCGGTTTCTTTTTAACATGAGGTGAGCTCACAGTAATACCTACCTCCCTGGGATTTTTTTATGAGAATTAAGTGAGATAACGTGTGAGATAAAAGAAATTATGTATAGAGTGAGCACTGGAGAGATGGTGGCTAGTGCTGTCCCTGCTACTGAGATTATTCCTGTTGTCACCATCACCATCATCACTGATATCTCCTTCTCCTTTCTTGAGAAGCCCAACTTGAGATTGAGCTGATGCCATTAGAGGACATTGAAAAAGGAGTTACCACCCCTGCCCTCCCCCCATTTGGCAAATTGTCCAGGACAAAAGGCCTGCCAGTCTTCGTGCCTGCTCTTGGATATTTTCCCTAGAATGTCAGCTTTGAAGCCCGGCTCTGAGTCTAGTTTTCCTACAGGTGGAGAAGATGATCCCTCAGACCTCTTTCGGCACTTCACGTGGGAGATGAAGTGTATACATTGCAC